GAATATACATTCATTCTCGGGAACTTGGGCGTGCTACCAACATGGATTCATGGATTTTCATTTAAATTCTTGCTTGGATTTTTCCAACCGTGTAGACTGGGCACCCAACCTCCGTTAAGACTAGCCTGTGGCCAGGAATTCTTAGAAAAGAGCTTTTTGTTCTTCTACCAAGAGCCAGTAATGAGAAAAGCATGTTTCCTTGCATTTATTCCATCATTACAAATTTAAAAAAAATTTTTTTTCCTTGTTCTCTGTTTCTCCAAGAGTTTTATCTATGTGATGCCTAGCCCAATGCAATGTTGTCTGCTCAACTGCCCACACTGCCCAGATCCAAAGCTCGGTCTCCTGTTTTTACAGGGCACAACTACCGTGTTTCCCCGAAAATAAGACAGGGTCTCATATTTATTTTTCCTCCAGAAGACACCCCAGGGCTTATGTTCAGGGGATGTGTTATTTTTTTTAAGTGCGGTACAACCATCTGCATTGACTCAAATAGAGTGAAGTCGTCTTCTTCTGGAACATCATCCTCACTCTCCAGATCCCGAATCCTATCCTGAATGTCTTGCGACTCTGTTTCCTTTAGAGTCACCAGCCCCGATCTCTCCTGTCGAGCACTAGAGCTCTCACGGGGCGGATGAGAAGGGCTGCTCGTGTTCTTTCCCGCTCCGAGACGACACGCATGGGTTGTGCAGATGCGCTGTGCAGACACGCCCGTCACTAGGGTTTATTTTCATAGCCACGTCCACCACTAGGGCTGATTTTCATGGCCACACCCATCACTAGGGCTGATTTTCATAGCCACGCCCATCACTAGGGCTGATTTTCATAGCCACACCCACCACGAGGGATGATTTTTCATAGCCACGCCCATCACTAGGGCTGATTTTCATAGCCACACCCACCACTGGACTGATTTTCATGGCCACGCCCACCACCAGGGCTGATTTTCATGGCCACGCCCATCACTAGGGCTGGTTTTTCATAGCCACGGCCATCACGAGTGCTGATTTTTGGGGTGGGGCTTCTATTGCACACATGCTTAGACATCCTGCTGGGGCTTATTATATGGGTGGGTCTTATTTTGGGGGAAACACGGTACAAAAATAGGACCTCTAGGCTACCTTCGATTGCCTATGCAAACCGGATGGTAGCTTCAGTGTTTGATTTCCACCAGACACTCTTGCTCAAGCTCGGTTCCCAGCCCCAGAAGACTTCCCATGCTATCTCATAAACTCAGCCAATGCATTTAATATTGCTTTTCATGTTTCACTCAGTAGACACTTTGTAGCAAGAAGATTTCAGGACATCCAGTTTAATATACAGCTAGAAATGGAAGTATTAAGCATTGACTTTTTAATTGCTAAAGACTGTAGTGCTTACTCTTCATTTAGCTGGTTGGCAAATAAATTAGCAGAATGGCTAATAATAATGGCTAACAAGAAAGTTATTGATTGATTGATTGATTGATTGATTGACAAAGTCTCACTCTGTCGCCCAGGCTGAAGTGCAGTGGCACAATCACAGTGTAAATTAAAATAAAATTTTAAGGCTCACCCCACCACACACCAGCTGACTCAATGGACCCCTTCCTTGTGGCCAAAGGAATATCCTAAAACTAAATTCTCTTCCAGGAGGAGGGAGGTGAGACAGGCTTCACCATGTCCCCCTCTCTTCTTGGGGACATCCTTTGTGACCCATTAACAGGCCTAAGGGCATGCAAGGCACACCTGTAGGTCCTCAATTTACACAACAAATCTGTGTCCCCTGGCTTGTCTCTGAGAATAGCTCCTTCTGTTGAAACATTCCAAGCCTTTAGACAAAGCTTCATGTCTTTAACCAATGACAAGCCAAAGAGTCTTTAAACCCACCTGTAACCTGTAAGCCCCGCCCCCCTTCGAGATGGCCCACCTTTTGGGGCCAAGCCAATGTCTGCCTCCCACGCATTGATTGATGGCTTCACCTGTAGCCCCTGCCTCCCTGAAATGTATAAAAACCAAACTGTGACCCAACCATAGTGAGTCTACCTGCTCAAGGCTTCTTGGCAGTGGCTCCGGGTCATGGTCCTCCAATTCGGCTCAGAATAAATCTCTTTAAAATTATTTCACAGAGTTCGGCTTTTTTCCGTTGACAGTAGCTCACTGAAGCCTTGAACTCCTGGGCTCAAGGGATCTTCCTACCTCTGTCTCCCAAGTAGCTGGGACTATGGGCACGCACCACTGCGTAAGGCTAGATTGTTTTATTTTTTTTGTAGAGATGGGGTAGGGGGGGAGAGTCTCACTAAGTTAGTTGCCTTGTCTGGTCTCGAACTCCTAGCCTCAAATGGATCCTCCCATTTCGGCCTCCCAAATTGCTGGGATCACAGGCCAGGCGTGAGCCACCATGCCTGGCTGAAAGTTATACACATTGGCCTCTGGGTGCTTATAAATACAGCATATGCTATCTGATTTTTTTTTTTAAATAGCAATAACCATTTTTTAAAAAATGGTTTTCTAAAAAAACAAAAAAAAAATAGAGAAGGAAGAGAAGAATCTAATGGACTGTCTGAATCTCTCACGATGGTTTCACTTCCCGGGGGCTCCAAAGGGTTTTTCCTTAAAGAGCTCTGAGAGCCGCTGAAGAGAAGTGATTGAGGCCTTGGGTCGGTACCTCGCCAGTTCTCAAAGCTGTCTTTCATGGATAAAATAAAGCTCGAGTCCGTCAAAAAGCTTCTTGGGAATTTAGCCAGATTTCACATAAAAGGGCTTTCATTTCACCTCTCCTTGACTACGGAGAGGAATCTCCGTTCTTAGCAAACTACACGGAATGGACACAATCCCCGAGTCTAAACTCCACGACCCTTTAACACGCAGATAAAATAAAATAAATAAAATCTATTTCATAGATTGCTAAATAATTGTAAAAGGGTTTTAGCGTGGTAGCTCGCTCACCTGGTGGCTATTCAGAGCTCCTTGCACAAAAGTTCTGAGCTGAGAAACTTTTTTTTTTTTTTTTTTTTTTGAGACAGTGTCTCGCTTTGTTGCCCAGGCTAGAGTGAGTGACGTGGCGTTAGCTTAGCTCACAGCAACCTCCAACTCCTGGGCTCAATCAATCCTCCTGCCTCAGCCTCCCAAGTAGCTGGGACTACAGGCATGCGCCACCATGCCCGGCTAATTTTATATATATATATCAGTTGGCCAATTAATTTGTTTCTATTTATAGTAGAGACGGGGGTCTCGCTCTTGCTCAGGCTGGTCTCGAACTCCTGACCTCGAGCTCTGATCCTCCTGCCTCGGCCTCCCAGAGTGCTGGGATGACAGGCGTGAGCCACCGCGCCCGGCCTGAGAAACTTTTAATATCTTTGCAGATACCAACTTCAGAGATGGTTTCATATCCCCGAAGTACGATATTATCCAAATGGACTCAGGGAAACTCAGCCTCTTGGGGTTTTCCCTCCTGAGGTCCAAATTGCCTTGTTTTGTTCTCAGTGATAGCCATCCCGTTTTATGATGGTTTCTCACCGAAAGCAGTTTATGTGACTCACAGCATTTTTTTTTTTCTCTAGTGCGGCCTGCCAGGGAATTCACGTGAGGCAATGGTTGGGTTGCAATGATGGATAGCAAGAAAGTTTCCATGCTCGAGGAGGCTGAGGTCCAGGGATGTGATTCCCAACCTTGGGTCTATATCAGAACCACCTTGCAAGATCTCAAAAAACAAACAAACAAAAAAAAACTACCAACGTTTATAAGTTTATCTTATCTCTTTCTGTAGACAGTGGATTTCTTGGGGCAGGAGCTATACTATCATCTCTCCTTGTTCCTTTTTCTTTTTTTTTTTTTTCTTTTCAGAGAGGGTCTCACCTTGTCACCCAGACTAGAGTGGAATGGCACAATCAGAAGTCACTGCGATCCTCCTGCCTCAGCCTCCCAAGTAGCTGGGACTACAGGCATGTGCCCCTGCACCAAGCTAACTTTTTTCTTTGTTTTTGTAGAGATAGGGTCTCACTGTGTTGTCCAGGCTGGTCTTAAAGTCCTGGCCCCAAGCAATCCTCCTGCCTTAGCCTCCCAAAGTGCTAAGATAAAAGGTGTGAGCCACCACATCCGGCCTCCTTCCTATTTTATAGCCAGTTCCTATCTGTAGCAAGAATCAACTAAAATCTAAGGGTGATGTATAATAAAAACGTACCTACCAGGCACAATGTATATATATACCATTCTGGTGATGGGCACACTTAAAGTCCAGACTTCTGCATTGTACAATTCATCCCTGTAACAAGAACCTTTGCACCCTCTAATATTTTTGAAATAAAAACTATTCTTAAAACTGTTAAGCAAAAATAGGCCGGGCGCGGTGGCTCACGCCTGTCATCCCAGCACTCTAGGAGGCCGAGGTGGGAGGATCGCTTGAGGTCAGGAGTTCGAGGCCAGCCTGAGCAAGAGCGAGACCTCGTCTCTACTAAAAATAGAAAGAAATTAATTGGCCAACTAAAAATATATAGATAAAGACTTAGCCGGGCATGGTGGCGCATGCCTGTAGTCCCAGCTACTCGGGAGGAGGCTGAGGCAGGAGGATGGCTTGAGCCCAAGAGTTGGAGGTTGCTGTGAGCGAGGCTGATGCCACGGCACTCACTCTAGCCCAGGCAACAAAGCAAGATTCTGTCTCAAAAAAAAAGAAAAAAAAATTAAGCAGAAATAACTTAAAGATCCGATTTGAAAGGACTTCTATTATGTGAATCTTGAGCAGGAATTACCAATGTGATTGCAACATTAAGTTCTGAGGCCAAAAAGGATGTGCTCGTCGCATTGCTCCCTGTTATCGGGTTATTAGGTTTCGAAGAAGAAATTGAAAACTGAAAATAATTGAAATTGAAAAAAAAAAAAATAACAGCCGTACCAAAATGCAAAAAGAAAATCGAGGTTTGCAATGATAACACAACATTCTGGGGGGAGGACTGTCTCCTCCTCGACACTACGGAGTGGGAGAACCCGCCTTACCAGTTTAAGGTAGCCCTCAACTCGCCTTACCAGTTTAAGGTAGCCCTCGGCATCTAGGATTAAGTTCTCCGGCTTCAGGTCCCTGTAGATGATGCCGAGCCGATGCAAGTAATCGAATGCTTCTGTCACGCAAGCAACGCAGAATTTGGAGGTGGGTTCGTCGAAGCTGCCTCTGCAATGAAACCATTTTTTTTCTCTTAAATACTCTTAAATGCACACCTTCCGTGCTGTTCTAGGTGTCGATCATGGCAACGATGCGTTTATGCACCATCGATATCTTGCAGGACATCAACACGAAAATGCATCTTTTTTTTTTTTTTTTTGAGACAGAGTCTCGATCTGTCGCCCGGGCTAGAGTGAGTGCCGTGGCGTCAGCCTCGCTCACAGCAGCCTCCAACTCCTGGGCTCAAGCGATCCTCCTGCCTCAGCCTCCCTCCAGAGTAGCTGGGACCACAGGCACGAGCCACCATGCCCGGCTCATTTTTTTCTATGTGTTTTTAGTTGGCCAATTAATTCCTTTCTATATTTTTTAGTAAAGACTGGGGGCTCGCTCTTGCTCAGGCTGGTCTTGAATTCCTGAGCTCAAGCTCTGATCCTCCTGCCTCGGCCTCCCAGAGTGCTGGGATGACAGGCATGAGCCACCGCGCCCGGCCAGCCTGTAATTCTTTAATCCTTAAAAGAGGGATGTGAATGACTACCTTGGAGTGTGTGTGTGTGACGTGATTGTGATTTAGCTTAGAATACATGACTATTATAGTACTACTCTATTGAATCAAGTGATATTTTCTTATAGCCATTTGCTACTGATTTCCTACACTCCTCCTAAATGATCATAAATATAACATCCTCCAGACCAGAGATGAGCAGACGCTGTGTATAGCAAGCTGTTGTAGATTAATAAAACGTGGTCTGTGTGCACCACGGAGCACTACTCAGCTCTGAGAAACGACGGTGACCCAGCACCTCTTGTGTGTTCCTGGCTGGAGCTGGAGCCCATCCTACTAAGGGAAGCGTCCCGAGAATGGAAACACAAGCACCACGTGCGCTCACCAGCAAACTGGTGTTGACGGATCAGCACCTAAGTGGACACACAGGAGTGACATCTGTCGGGTGTCGGGCAGGTGGGAGGGGAGGAGGGGACGGGTGTAGACAGACACGACGAGTGAGACGTGCACCGTCTGGGGGATGGGCTCGCTTGAAGCTCTGACTCAAGTGGGATGAGAGGGGGGCAAGGGCAATGTACGTGACCCTAAACATTTGCACCCCCATCATATGCTGAAAAAAATTAAAAAATTAAAAAAACAAAACTATATACACTATTAAAATTAAAAAAATAAAAATAATAATAACTTTAATAAAACTTAAAAAATTAAAAAATAAAAGCCATATACACTATTAAAATTAAAAAAATAAAAATAATAATAACTAATAAAAATTAAAAAATTAAAAGAATAAAAGCCATATACACTATTAAAATTAAAAAAATAAAAATAATAATAACTTTAATAAAACTTAAAAAATTAAAAAAATAAAAGCCGTATACACTATTAAAATTTAAAAAATAAAAATAATAATAATTTTTATAAAATTAAAAAAATAAAAGCTATATAAAAAAAAGTATGCACACTCTTTTTTCTTACCTGTCCCTCAGGATACTCCATAGCTCCCCGCCCAGGCAGGCTTCCAGAAGCATGTACACATACTTATTGTCTTTGAAGGTACGATACAATCTGCAGGGACAGATCAAAACGCGGCTGTCATTATTAGAAATCCAGTTTTAAAGCCTTTTTGAAGTTGCTTAAGGCGATAACCATGGCGTCCCTGAACGCGGACCCCCATGGCCATATAAATACCCTACAGCCACATGGGGCTTCCTGCTCCTTCCTGCTGCTCCTTCCTGCTGCTCCTTCCTGCTGCTCCTTCCTGCTTTTGCTCATGTTAATCCTTTCAGGTAGACTGCCCAACCTCTGCCCACCCTGAACTTCCCGATCTCAGGTTCACCGTAAGAGTTGCATCCATTCTTCTTTGTTGTTTTTTTTTTTTTTTTTTTTTGAGCCAGAGTCTCGTCCTTTCAGGGTATTGTTTCCCAACAAAC